CAAATAGGAAAAGAGGAAGTAAGTTATCCTTCTTTGCTGATGATATCATCCTAAACCTTGAAAATCCAAGAGAATCTGTAAAAAACCTGCTTGCACTGATAAAGGACTTTGGCAAAATCTCAGGTACAAAATAAACATGTAAAAGACAGTTGTATACCTATACACCAATAACAAGCAGGCAGAGAGTCAAATAAAAAGCACAATCCTATTAACAATAGCCACACAGAAATGAAATACCTTGGCATCTTCCTAACCAGAGAAGTGAAAGAACTTTACAATGAGAACTACAAAACGCTACTCGAAGAAATCCAAGAAGGCACAAACAAATGGAAAAAATCCCATGCTCATGGATAGGAAGAATCAACATTGTTAAAATGTCCAGCCTACCAAAGGCAATCTACAAATTCAACGCAAAACCCATTAAGTTACCAACATCATTCTTCTCAGACCTGGAAATGACAATACAGAAATTCAGATGGAAACATAAAAGACCACGAATAACCAAAACAATCCTTAGCAAAAGAAAGAAAGCAGGAGGTATCACACTTCCAGAATTCAAATTTTACTATAAGGCTACAGTAATCAAAACAGCCTGGTATTGGTACAAGAGCAGGCACATAGACCAATGGAACAGGATAGAGATTCAGAAGCAAAGCTTCAAGTAATCAAAACAGCCTGGTATTGGTACAAGAATAGGCACATAGACCAATGGAACAGGATAGAGATTCTGAAAGCAAAGACTCAATTCCTCAGCCAACTCATCTTTGACAAAGCCTCCAACAACAACCACTGGGGAGAGAAGAACCTATTCAGTAAATGGAGCTGGGAAAACTGGCTGACCACATGCAGAAGATTGAAATAAGACCCCTACTTTCACCATACACAAAAATTAACTCTAAATGAATCAAAGACCTTAATGTAAAACCTCAAACTATAAGAAACTTAGAAAATGTAGGAGACACCCTTATGGAAATTGGAACTGGCAACCAATTCCTATTCAGAACCCTGAAGGCCAATATCTTAAGAAATAAGATAGACAAGTGGGACCTCATCAAACTAATGAGCTTCTGCAAAGCAAAAGAAACCATCAAGGGAGCAGGGAGACAACCCACAGAATGGGAAAAAATATTTGCCAACTGTTATCTGACAAAGGCCTAACATCTAGGATCTACAAGGAACTCAAATGCGCTGAAAGGAAAAAGCAAAGACATGAATAGACACTTCTCAAAAGAAGATATACAGACAGTCAACAGACACATGAAAAAGTGTTCAGCCTCACTCATCATCAGAGAAATGCAAATCAAAACCTCACTGAGATACCATGTTACCCCAGTAAGAATGGCCATCATTAATAAGACAGACAACAACAGATGCTGGCGAGGATGCGGAGAAAAAGGAACGCTTCTACACTGCTGGTGGGAATGCAAACTAGTGCAACCTCTTTGAAAGGCAGTGTGGCGATTTCTGAAAGCACTAGAAATTGACCTTCCATATGACCCAGCAATTCCCCTATTGGGAATATACCCGGAGGAACTAAAATCATTCTACAAAAAAGATACCTACACATGTATGTTTGTTGCAGCTCAACTCACAATAGCAAAAGCATGGAACCAACCATGTTGTCCATAAAAGTTGGACTAGATAAAGAAAAAGTGGTACATATACACAATGGAATATTATGCAGCCATACAGGACAAATATATGGACTTTGCAGCAACTTGGATGGATTTGGAGTCCACCATACTCAGTGATCTATCACAGAAACAAAGAAGAGAGTAACATATGTTCTCACTCATAAACAGACCTTGAACAATTATAATACTGTAAGAAAGCATTTGGCAGTAATGGGAAACTGTCACGGGAGAGTGGGATTGGCAGTTGAGGGAAACTGCTAGGGGAGGGAGGGGTATACCTCATCAACAAGGGTAACTGCATAATCAATATTTGTATACCTAACCCTGAATTGTACCCCACATCATTATAATTAAAAAAAAGAGAGACTGGCAAGTCAAGGTTCCATTCTGAAGAGTAGGTGTGTTGAAAAGTGTAGGCATGTCTGGATGTGGAGCCCACCAGTGTCTTTGCTCGAGGAAGGAGGGGCAGCTCAGGCTCCCTACTCCAGGAAAATGGGTGTACCAACTGCCTGAAAGTATGCCCTGGTGAGGAGCGAAGTGATCACTCTTATTAGATAGTTTTTGCAGTGTGGGGGCCCGGGGGGGAGGTGGGCAGCTTCAGTTGCTAATAGTGAATGCTGGTACACTGAATGTCTGGAATTATGTCTAATTGTGGATTGGGAGTGGGAGGAGGGCACTGATCCAACCAGGTAGGTGTGTTGAATGCTTAGGAATATGCTCAGACTTGAAGCAGAAGAATCCCCTCTTCTCCATCCCTGTGCTGGAGGGGCAGGGCAGCAATCCAGGTGGGCAGGTGTTCCACATGCCTGGGGAGATGCCTGGGTGTGGAGCAGTGAGAGCTCCTCCCCTTAGCAGGATCTCTGCACAGAAAGGGAAAGGGGCTTAGGCTTTTGATCCAGGTGAGTGGGTGCTCCGTGTGCCTGGGAATGGAGTGGAGGAGGCCACTCAGCTCCAGTTCCCTGCACAGGAGGGATTGGGAGGCTTAGGCTGCTGGCCCATGCAAGCAGAAGCACCAAATGCCTGAATAAGTGTCTGGCATGGATACCAAAAGAGGCTTCATTGCACAAGGATAACTGCACAGGAAACATGGGGCAGCTTAGGCTGCCAATCCAAGTGTGTAGAAATGGGACATGCCTTCTCTCTCATACTGGAGGGGCACACTTCCCTGACTAATTAGAGGGGCAGGCTGGATACCCCACAAAGATACATGGAGCCTGATTCCATGTCACAGAACTGACCCTGACTTCAGACCTCACTATGTGAAAGAAACCACCAGTTCAGGAACCCTCCTGCTATTCAGACTGCTGATTTGGGTGCAGAGGAGTGGGGTCCCTCCTGCTGGTCTCCTGCCACTGTAACTGCTTTTTCTGATGTGTGGAAATGGAGTCCCTCCTTTTCTTCAGTATTGCTGAGGCACGCTACCCCCAGCAAGTCCGGCAAGGAAGCTCAGGTTCTTAGCATTAGTACTTGCTGAACAATTCCGGGCTGTAAAACTGACCTTTGCTATGGGACCCACTGTTCATGAGAAAACACAGCTACAGCAACTCTCATACTGCTCAAGTTTCAAGTTCAGGAGTGTGGGAGTTGGGACCCCTGCTGGTCTCCTGTCATTTAGGCTGCAATAGTAGGTGCTCCTAAGTGTTGCTGGGGCACTTTACTGCAACTGCCCGGAGTGGCGGGCTGAGGTCCCCAAGAGTGAAACATGCAGATCGATACCGGGTCACAGATTTGACATTGCTTGTCAGTCTGGCTTCCCGGAAGGAAACACCGCTACAGCGACTCTCCTGCCACTCCAGGCCTGCGGCCGGAATGGGTCCAGTTCCAGCTCTAAACGCTGGGTCGTTCTCCAAGATCCCCACCCCACTCCAGCTGTCAGGGTCCCCTATCCTACTCCAGAGCAAATGCTACTTTCTCTGGATCGAAACCAAAATACCTGCAGAGGTCGCTGTTGCAGAGTCACCAATCTATGAAGGACTGTTTTTGGTCCTATGTCAATAATGGCGTTCTCCTTGTAGACCTGGATTTTGGAAAATGCCTGTGACTTTACCCAGAGCCTTTCTCTCCCACCAACTCTTGGTCTCCCCATGAGTCAGTTCCGGGGCCCAGGAGAAATAAAGCGGTCTCCTATGGTCTGGGTTAAACCTATCCCTAGTTGAGAGGTAGGCTCCAGAGGAAAATGTCCTATCCCTTCAGTTTATCCGGGATGCACTCACTTTCTCTACTCATAACAGTTTGTGGGGGCTGTCTGCCCATTTTCTCCTCTCTGTGATCTAGGGTGTGTGTTTTTTTGTTTTTGTTTTGTTTGTTTGTTGCCATTCTGATGCATACTTATTTTCCTTCTTGATTGGGGCTCATCGTGTTGATCTTTTCACACTATTTTGCTATTTTCAGGCAGATGAGGCATGCTGAAAGCTTCTAATATGCCATTTTTAAAATCATATTCCTCGGACTATTTGTCCAGGATTTAAATTCTCATAGTCATATTCATTTTACTTTGTTAGACAACTATTCACACTGATAATGTCCTCAATATCTCAAAGTCGATTTCACCCTTCTTTCCTTTTTCCTGGGGACTTGTGGTTGGCTCTGCTGGGCAAATATTTCTCATGACACTGTCTTATAAAATACTGTTTGAACAGGGAATAGAAATAGGATGTAGAGAGGCCAAGAAAGATGGGCATTTCAAACTAGAAGTACATGGACCTCAGCATAAAGGTATGAAAGGTCAAAATATTCTCCATATAAGGAAATATATCAAAGAGGGGTAGTTGAAAGAAAATGAAAATCCAGGATGCTAGAGGGGTTTAAAGATCATACATTAAAGGTCATGATTTATGTCTGGCATCATCTATGAGAAGGAATAATGTTGAGATATAATAGAGTTCTAATGACAAAGGATACATAAATAAATGGAAATATGAAAAATCAGGAGACAAGGCCTACATGCTCCCAGTTCTCCAAGTCTTCAGCACAGACTTAGTTATTCATGATGTGAACAGTCAGAGGCCTCTTGTCATCTTTCGTATTGGGGGGAGGGGTGTGTAGTGATAGAAAGAAGGGACTTTTTGCCTTCTTCAGCCAAACCTAGCACATTTCTAAAGACCAGGTGGATTTAGGTATGATCAAATATGTATTCTCTGCCCAAATTTACATGTTATTCACAAACCAGTTAATTAAAAGTATTAAGAATGTTATCACAAAATTAGAAACATTTCATTACATCTTGTTAGAAGTTGACATTTGTACACAGATATCTTTTACGACATCACCTGAAATCCCTACAGCACGAAGTCCAATCCAAATTTAAGATCTCTAAGGCATCCTTGAAGTTGGCTAATATGTTCAAGGTCTGAACAGGTATTTGATTCATGATTCCAAACTGGTGTGATCAAACAGGCAGTGCTTCAGCAAACTCCATATTCTCTTGCGTAATTGTTTGGTCTTCAAGCCATAGATGATGGGGTTTAAGGTGGGTGGGATAACCAGGTACAAATCAGCTAACAGCACTTGGATGTGCAAGGACACTACATCCTGTCCTAGCCAGGCCACATAGACAGATGCCATCCCAGGTAGATAGTACAGAGCCATGACCACCATATGGGAGCCACATGTGCTTAATGCTTTCAACTGAGCATTCTTTGAGGAGAGACCAAACACTGCCCTAAGAATCAAGATATAGGAGGCAGCAATGAAGGCCACATCAGAACCCACAATAATGAAGGAACCAATCAGACTGTAGAGACTACTCGGCATTGTGTTGGAACATGCTAGTTTGGCCACAGCTATATGCTCACAGTAGGAATGGAGAACCACATTGGAGCCACAGAACGGTAGATGACTCACCATCCAATACAATGGAGTAATGGCTATGACAGCTCTGATAATGATGGCCAGAATCATTCCCAGCATCACTTGAGGTGTGAGAATTCGCCTGTAATGTAGGGGCTTACAGATGGCTACATAGCGGTCAAAAGCCATGGCCAGCAGCAGCCCTGATTCCACAGCTGTTGCTGAATGGACAAAATACATCTGAGCAAAACAAGCATTGAAGTTGATGAAATTGCCTCCTGCAAAGAAGATGCTCACCATCTTGGGTACCACTGAGGAGGCCATAACAATGTCTACAACAGCAAGAACACACAGGAAATAATACATAGGCTCGTATAGAGTGGAATTTATCCAGATTACAGTCACAATGAGTGTGTTTCCTGACAGGGCTATGGTGTACACAGCACTCAGTGAGATAGCAAGCCAAAGATGCGAAGACGGCAATCCTGGAACACCCACAAGGAAGAAGGTGGCAGAGGTGTCCATTGTGTGGTTGTAGGGTGGCCCCAGCATCTCAAGTGTGACTGCTTTCCTGTTAATAAATTGGTGATGTAAGATAAGGATGAAATCCTGCAAGTTGTGTTTCCATCTGGGAAAGTTAGACAGTATTTTCAGTTGGGTAGTAGTCTCAGGATCAGAAAACTAACATCTAATAAAGTTATCTTATTCCACTTCCCATCCTATTCAATATTATTTGCCTTTCTAATTTCCATTCTTTGTTCAGGGTGCTGCTCATGGTTTACAGCTGTAGGGAAGTCTTCTCTGCTCTCTCTCTCCTTTCATGCCCATGTAAAGTCAGGTACCTTTCTTCTGAGCTTTCATTGAATCTCCCATTGTGGCCTCTGAGAGACTAAACTAACAGTTTCAATACTCTACCTGGACTTTATTATATTCATTCAAGTGCATATCTCTTGTTCATAGCCTAATGCCAAGGGTGTGATCCACAACTGTGCTGCACAAGTCCATTAAAACAAGATATGTATACTAAATATAGTAAACAGATTCCACAGAATGAGTGACAAATGAGAGGAAAGAATTTGTGTTGTATCTGTGTGTTCAGTTGCAGGTATTTAATAAATGTTGTATGAAAGATAATATCTAGAGGTCAAACATGTCATGTCTTGTATCCTTAGTATTGTGTCTAGATGAAACATGAAGTATCTTTGTGGTTGAAGAAACACATTAATGTGTTCAGGAAAATGAAGTCTTTAGAAAACAACATTATCACCTTCCATAGAAGATAATAAACTATCTGGAAGTTTAAAGAATATTCATCTTCTTTAAATTTCTGATTGAACTTTCTATTGAACTGAGCTCAATTAATGAATTAAATAACTACATATAAACCTTAGGACTTCCTTATAAACAAAAACCCCCTCCATTTGTTTCTGTGAATCTTCATTACAGCTAACTTCCTCTTCATAATAAACTACCCAGACTTTCCAGATAGCAAAGAAGATTTATCCTGTAGAAATTAAAGCATGTTTTAACAAATATGGTATGTGTCAGTGCTATTTTAAAATGTGTAGCATTCATAATCTCAGTGTATTTCTCCACTTGTAAAACAGGACATACATTCTTCCAAACAGGACAGCTTAAATAACTTAAATGAGATTAAATATTTTATCCAAAATCACAGAATAAGTATGCAGTAGATTTGAGATGCATGTCCAGTTCTTTTCATCTATGACTCCCTGCTGCCCATCCAGCCCAAGTTTGATAGTCAAAGACACAACTATGGATACTGACCCAAAAAAGTGTTAGGGGCGTCACTCAGCCAGTTTCAATAAGACTAGGAAAGTTACTACTCTGCACAGCCAGGAGCTGAGCTCCAACCCTTGTAAATTTCTGTTTATTTCTGTACTCGGCCTCTATTTTCCTCATTCAGATGTTACCATATCATAAAGCATATATTAATTTTGTTGGCAAAACCTGAATATGAGGAATCAACATTAACTATCATTCCATTCCTATGTGATAGCCCTTCAGTTACTCTCTCCTTAGGATGGGTGGTCTTTGTGATTTTATATGATATGCACATCTTTCCAGCCATCTGAAAGCACTCCTTGTCACAGGGTCCTTCTCACTCTGGTGGTATCACTCAACCTTGTGAGATGTTGGCTGACTTTCTTCAAGAAACTCCTAGTTTTTCTTTCCACAGAACACACTATAAAAACCCTGCATACTTTCATGATGTGTGGTTGGTCCTATGAGAAGTATTGCTTCTAGAGTCATACCTTCTAGACTGAACACTCTGTCATTTGTTAGCCATTTTTTCATGGTCAAATTATGTAACTATCCAACCCTTAATTTACTTATTCATAAGATGCACATAATAGTTTCTGTAATAACAGAGATGATAGAGATATTTTGAGCTTTAAATGAGAAGCTGTATAAAAGTGCTCAGCAGAATGTGTAGTACTTAGGTACACTATGCAATTTAGTTAATAATAAATGAGACCATTTCTCCTGCTTAGTTTCTATAGTTGTAGATTCCTCCAAATAGCAAACTTAAATGGGTAAGTGTGCCATGGAGGCCACAATTAAAAAAAATAAAAAGCAGCTCAATTAGCATTGTCTAAAGCTTTTATCTTGTCCTCCCATGATCTATCACTAAAGATGTCTCCTCCAGTGGTTACAACAAGAAGGTTCTTTCAATCCAATTATGATTAGGAGCTCAGTATCATTATAGGTCGTTTTTAAGTTTGGGATTTTTGTTTTGGTTGCTTGTTTGTTGTTGTTGTGTTTTTTTTTCTTTATTATCTAATTCTGTGACAATGTCTCCCTTACATTTGCCTATAACTCATCTCTAATAAGAAAGTCAAGAGTGGCTGCCACTTCTCTGGCCTATAAAAACTCTTGACAACTTGCAATCAGATTAAGGATCCCATGGAAATGGGTATGACAAATAATAATGATCAGGCTAAATTGTCACTTCAAGCCGGGCTCAGTGGCTCAGCCTGTAATCCCGCGCCTTTGAGAGGCTGAGGTGAGTGGATTGCCTGAGCCCGCGGGTTCAAGACCCACCTAGGCAACTTGGCGAGACCTCATCTCTACAATAAATTAGAAAAATCAGCCGGGCGTGGTAGCGCGTGCCTGTAATTCTGGCTACTTGGAAGGCTGAGGCGGAAGGATCGCCGGAGCCCAGCAGGTCGAGGCTGCGGTGGCCGGGAACGGCCATTGCACTCCAGTCTGGGCGACAGAGTGAGACTCCAACTCAAAAAAAAAAATTGTCACTTCAACTGTTTTCCCATTGCTATCAGATCATTTCACTTCCTAAGCACATGGATATAGACTCAGGATCCCAGACCTGGACGCCAGATTCCAAGTGTGGACCAGACAATAGTAAGTACAACTGATCTGCTTCCTCAAACCCTGATGGCCTGAATATTGTTATCTTCTCTCAAGGTGTCATCCTAACGGGTCACAGCAACAATTGTGTGAATTGTATTGACATACCATCAGTCATATATAACACAAGTACAGTTTCTAAGATGGTCAGTCAATCTTAAATGAAGTGTTCTTAGTTGCCAAGCCTCATGAGTAGCCTGCCTTAAACTATCACTTCTTGTGCCTCTCCTCCTTAATAAAGGGCCTCCAGGCTGAAAAGTTGCCATATCCCTATCCTTGGATACTGTCTGTACTCTCCATTTTTAACTTCTAATCAAGGGCCTGGCTCCTCTCTGAATAATTGGATAGGTCAGATTTATGAAATTCTGTGCTCATGATTCTTTCACTGAAGCAGACATTTTCTCCATTAGCAAGCACTAGATGAACATGCTCCTGGTTCTCAGTCCTAACCCTGGGATGAACACTTGCCCCTTCCTTTTTTCTCTTGCAGAGCTAACTGACACCACACCCAGGTATTGGCAGCAGACTTGCGGGGAGATCTCAGGAGTTGCCCAAAAAGACAAATTTCTGGGAAACAATTCCAAACTGTGTTCCTTATCGAAATAACAAAAATAAAAACCCTAAACATAAAAAATAATATATCATAGAACAGACTCAATAAAGTAGTGAGGTATGCATCACAGTCTGGTTATGAGACGCCTGCTGAGTAGAGTCACTGGGTGAAACATCTTCAGTGAGAGATCAGAGGAAGACGGGGAAGCTTTTGAAGTAGATCAGTAGTAGGAGTGGAAAAAAAACTTACGAACATCCTTAAGGCTGCTGTATGTGTTCTGGATGCCATAAACTCAGGATTGAGTATTGCCGTTGAAAGGGCTAGAGCAGAGTCCGAGAATTCAGAAAGCCTGCTCCCCACTCAACTCTGATCCAGGGTGTTCCTCCTGACTGCCCTGTGAAAATCCACCTTCCTTCTAAGAGCAGTCTGAGCTGATGCCCTGCCCCACCACTCCTCTCCAGCTCTGTCACCATCTAACTGGGCATACTTTCCATGCCTGTGAGCATGTATATTTTAATTTTCATTCACCTTTCTTCTTAATTAGCACTACTACAGATTTACACTAGTTATTAGTCTTTTCAAATAAAAGGACACTTGGTTTGGTTTGGATATAAAAATATTTATATCACTCAACTTATTGATACTGAAAATGTTCTTTCTTACATAGATAATGATCTCCATCACCAATCAAGTGAATTCTTTTTACTATTCATTTTACTTGACCTTTTCAAATTTAGCATTACTGCCTGCTGCCTTATTTTCTGGTTAACTTTTTGAGACATTGCATACATACAGTAAACTGTATAAATCTCAGATGTACAGCTTGATACAATTTTTATAACATGAACACATGAACACATTAACACACCCACATGGACACTACTCAAATTAAGATACAGGCACAATATCTTCCTGGTTATTAATTAGGTGTACTGTTTTCAGAAAGTTCTGGCCTGCTCTTATAAGAAACATTTCCATCCCTGCTCCTTATTCTGCCTTCAATCCTGTGGAAACATTTACAAGGAGAACTGAAGGATTAATCACTGAAAACTAGCCAGTGAAATTCAATAACTAAATAAAATGCAAGAGTTTTTCATTCCTATTGAAAGGACATGGAATAAAGAATTCAAATTTAAACTGTCTTAAAGGTAAAAGCACTAATGCATAACTCGTTTGAATGAGGCCTTTGTTTATGATAACCTAGAACCCTTATCTGAGTATCTCCTCTCTGAAACCAAACATTCTCACAATCAGCCCTACTACTTAGTTCTTTTCTTATAACTCTTCTTGGCCCCTTAATGCTATCTCTCCACCAACCCAAGGTTTGACTTACCCCTTCCTCTTTCTGCTTTCATCCAACATAATCAGATGTTTCCATTTTGTCTCCCACCTTTCCTATTTTCACATCATTTGCTTAAGGTCTCAGGTATCAACAATACTTGCCAGACCTGGCCAGCCCTTTGTGGTAGAATTGAGTGCTCACATCAGCCTTTCTAAGGTGAACTGGCTGGGAGACTCCATCAGTCCAACACCAGTCCCCAAGTGATCACCCACATCCCTGATGTTTTTCTAGTCAGCTTTCCCTAGTGGGTCCATGTCTAGTAGACCTTTTCTTTTACTCAAAAGAAGAGGGATTTAAACAGGACTCCTTCAGGAAGAGCAGAAA